CTTCACAGAACAGCTGGATTTATACGGAGAATAAATTACACACAGGTGGACTATGCACTAATTGGGTGACAGGTGACTTCTGAAGGCAATTGGTTTCCACTAGATTTTAGTTAGGGATATCAGAGTAAAGGGGGCTGAATACAAAATGCACGCCACACTTTTCAGATATTTGTAAAAAATTGTGAAAAACATTTATCATTTTCCTTCCACTTCATAATTATGTGCCACTTTGTGTTGGTCTATCACATAAAATACATATACGTTTTTGGTTGTAACATGACAAAATGTGGAAAATTTCAAGGGATTTGAATACTTTTTCAAGGCACTGTACACCCACTTTTATTATATTCATTATCCTCAAATATCAGTCAGCAAATATGTTGTAACGTGTTCCCAAATGTGAACTTATCCTTTAAGACCCAGGTGCTCACGCTATACTCCATCACTCAATTTTCAGTGCCCCCAAATTAAAAGACATCTTTATGTCTGGTTACTATACCGTCGCAAAGTACTAAAGCAAAGAGAAAGAACACACACACACCACACAACACAACACACACAACACAACACACACACACACATAAATTAAATCTGTATTTCAAAGAAGCAGCTCTCTTGCAGTTAGAGGGATGAGAAAAACCGCTTGGTCCCTTCCACACCGGGCAGAATCTGCTTTGATCAACAATGTATGGGTTTGCTGAGCAGAGCAAAGCGGGCGTATAACGGGTCTGTGTCCGCTCAGTTTCTGCAGAGCGGACAGGGATACAGCCCACTGTGCTCTATGGCCGGTCCATTTACACCCGATTGCCCTCCGTTCTGATAAGATGGAGGAGAACAAATCCCCATCTATTTCTTTTCTTTTACAAAGAGCTTTATTGAGTATTAAGCAAAGATAAACGAACATTCGGAACATAGAATCAATGACCAACAATTGTAAATTGTATTGTGTGGGGGGTCAGCTAGTTCAAAGCAAGCATTGATAAAGTCATATGCCAGAAGGTTTACATAGGTGGGGGTTGAAAGGGTACGATTAACAAACCTTCGTGGGTCAATGATAATATAAACACTAAAGTGGGTTTTGTTTTTTTTGTTTTTTTTTGCTACATCAGCAGTATAAAAAACAGGAAAGACACGAGAGGAGGCCTCTCCAAAAAAAAAAAATGGTACATATTCAAAACCTAGAGTTTACAAAGAAATCTAGATCTCATAGATAATACTGCGAGCGCACAAAACAGCACACAGTCCATAAGATGTGTGTAAGGACAGAGTAGACAGGAGGTTAAGCAAAGACAAATAGTAGAGGGACACGGACAACAACAAACAAAAAAAAAAAAAAAAGGGGGGGGGGGGGGGCTCCGAGGCGATCACAGCAAAATCCATCCTCACATTGACAGAAGGGACTGGTCGAATCTCGATGGTTGAGCTATATCCAACCAAGGACGCCATATCCGCAAACATTTTGTATGGGTATCCAACAGTACGGCCGTCAGTTTTTTCATGAACCATTATGAAGTTCATCCGATTTTTGACAGCCTCAAAACTAAACCCATCTATTTCTTTTTAGCGGACTGAATCAGACTGGAGGTTAACCACACAGGGGTGCTTACAATGATCAGATTTTATTTATATATGTAAACACTTTATCCCAAAAGATTTAAAAAAAAAAAAAAAAAAAAAACACTTCACCTGTGACTGCTTTTAAAGTGTTAGCTGTAGTTAGGCTTCAATTTGTTAGTGTATTTGAAACCTGCTAGTACTTGTAAGGCTTCATGTACGCTGGCAGCTCCTAAACTCATCTCCATAAAAGCCTATACATCCAAGTACAGAGACGTTTAGCAGGGTTCAGGAGCTGCCTCGTTTATGTGAGGTTAAACCTCCCTCCCCTGAATGCGGGAGAATCGCGTTCATGATGGGAACGTTTTGACCGCTGGCTGTGGGAAAACGGTAAACGCAACAAAAACGCATGAAAAAGCAGTACTACATGTACCCCATGTTTTGCATTTTCCCGCAGCCATGGCAGGCTAGTGTACATGTAGCCTAACACTACGCTCTCCCCAGGCTGATAATACTGCTGTCCAAATCTGCCCCTGTGCTCACTTATCCAGAGTGGAGGGACGCTAATACAGGAGTGTTGCTGGCAGGATCGCCATCTGAAAACAGGTAAAATGAATGCAACCATCACATCTAATGATCACTAAGCTGCAATATATTACATTTTTGGTTTCGGGTTTAAAACAACTGTAAAGCCCCAGTGTAAGTTTCCTGTTCTCACATGAGCCTCAGTACCATGAAGACATACTTGTCTGTCTAAAAAACAAATGTGCAGCGCTGTTAAAACCAATAAATAAATACATATATAAACATGTAAGAAAGTGCACACAAATATATAAAGTGACATTGTGCATCTATGTATGTGCCACTAGAATATGTGGCCAATATAAACGTGAAAGAAACACTGTGTCTAAAACATAAGTCCAGAGTGCAGGTGTGAACGAGATCTCAAATGATCTTCTGGTATCCAAAAGACACAGATTGTGGATAAGGTGAGACAATTAAAGTGTAGATTGCGCACTCACCAGATACGCAACCTTTTTGCGCATTTGTATTATATAATAAGGACATCAGACATCTCATCAAAAAGGTCTGGTCAGATCTGGTCAATGCCTCCTTCGCTATCCCACGGTTTGCACTTAGCCTTCCCAAATGGTAACCAGTGTGCGGATGTACCTGGATCAGTGTGCGGATGTACCTGGCTCCCACAGTGTGCGGATGTACCTGGCTCCCACAGTGTGCGGATGTACCTGGCTCCCACAGTGTGCGGATGTACCTGTACAGTGTGCTGGCTCCCACAGTGTGCGGATGTACCTGGCTCCCACAGTGTGCGGATGTACCTGGCTCCCACAGTGTGCGGATGTACCTGGCTCCCACAGTGTGCGGATGTACCTGGCTCCCACAGTGTGCGGATGTACCTGGCTCCCACAGTGTGCGGATGTACCTGGCTCCCACAGTGTGCGGATGTACCTGGCTCCCACAGTGTGCGGATGTACCTGGCTCCCACAGTGTGCGGATGTACCTGGCTCCCACAGGAGCTCAGAAAGAAACAACCGAGGAGGCAAGTAGTGCAATATTGCCTTAGGGTGTTTATTCCACACAATGGGTATGTATACAGCAAGAAAGCAAATAAAATAGATTACTGACCGATTGCAAGCTGCCGCCGGGACCCCTTGTGGTGCCGGCGGTAAGGCGTCAAAACAGCTACAGCCCGACCCTGACGCGTTTCGAGCAAGTGCTCTTAGTCATAGGGTGTCCTGGCCATCCTTGTCTGTCTGTCTGTCTGTCACAATGGCCAATAAGTCCCAAAATTATCACCGATTCAACCACTTTCAACCTTTTTTTAAAAAATGTTTACTGCAGTTGAATTGAAGATGTCCACTGAGTGGGCCAAATGTTGAGATTGCAGTGATGTGCTCACATCTTGTTTTCACTAGATTTGCAACATAGTTACATAGTTAGTCTGCCTTAAAAAAAGACAAAAGTCCATCCAGTTCAACCAAAAAAAAAAAAAAAAAAAAAAAAAAAAAAAGTTATAAACCTACACCTACAGTTGATCCAGAGAAAGGTAAAAAACCCAGCAAAGCACGATCCAATCTGCTCCTGCCGAGGAAAAAATTCCTTCCTGATCCCCCGAGAGGCTTCCTGATCTATATAAATGTTATATCCAGTTATATTCTGTGTATCCAAGAAAGGATCCAGGACTTTTTTAAAGGAATCCACTGAGCTGGCCACAAGCAACTCTGGAGGGAGTCTATTCCACATTCTCACAGCTCTTACTGTGAAGAAACCTTTCTGTATTTGGAGATTAAATTTCTTTTCCTCCAGACACAAGACACAAAGTAAAACTAAAAGGTAAAATATTTTTCCCATTTTGAATGGAGTAAAAAATGGTTTATAGTTCCTGCCAGGTTTGTTTTTGCCATCTGTTTTCCATTGGGTAGATTTATCTTCACTTCCTGTTCCATAACCAAAACAGGAAGTGAGTGGAAATCCCTGGTTGTCAGCCAGGTCACCAGAACAAGTGTCACTATTGAAAGATTTTCCTTTTTTAAAATCAGTAAGAAAGATTTTTCTATTACTGTTCTGGACACAAACCCAACATTTGGGATTTTCCTTCACTTTCAGTGATAATGGTAAACACAATGAGAGGGTGAATCTCCCTAACGGGACGTAAAAAAAATGCACAACGTTCTAATCCCTTTCCACTCTATTCAAAACTTTAAAAAAAAGCTTTGCAGTTCAGTACACTTTTAAAAAGATTTCAGAATCGGGCAGCTGGGCTGGGAAGAACTATAAAACTTTCATGGAAAGTGAAGACAAACATGTGCCATTACTTCACAAATGTATTATCGACCTACGCATGGCAGGAACACAGTACATTCGTCCTAGAAGACTTCACATTCAGGTGCCCGAAGGGACCTACAATGACCCATTATTACAGAAACACTAATCTGCTAAATTAAAGAGTCAGTACCAGGAATAATGTTCCTCCCCACCACAAACAAGAACCAGCCCCCGAGAATTACCCATCAATTTAAATGGTTCACACAACAATAACATTCACACCGCGGTGCACAGATGTCAGTTTTTCTGCATGCATTCTACAAGGGCACAACAGAATCAATTGTTGTCTATGTGTCCTGTTTCACACCACAACACTAGTATCACACCGCAGATTTTTTCTGTGCAGGAATCTGCAATGTGTGTAACACTCAATGATACGTGCATGAAACCGGATATCTCTGCAAGTGTAATCTGCACGTCAGTTTCCATGCACATATGTTGTGAACGAGCCCTTAACCCCCCTGGCGGTATTCCTGAGTGTAGCTCGGGGTAAAGTTTCAGTACCAGAAGCGGTAACCCCCCCCCCCGAGCTACACTCGGGCTTACCATGCGGCGCTGCTCAGGGAGTCCCTGCAGCGCTTACCTTGTCCTTCGCTCCCGCAATGTGTCCCCTGCAGTGTCCCCGGCCATCTCCTCCGGCCGATGCCGGCATCCGGTCCCTGTGACGTCGGGACGTACGGCGGCAAATTTGAAAATGAAAAAAAAATGACTTTTTTTTTTAAAACGATTATTACATAGTGTAACATTGCTGTATCAAACCATTTCACATACATTTTGTCCCGAGTGCTTTGTCCGGCGCCCTGCCTGCATTTTGACTGTTCTTTCTGCCTGGAAACTGAGAAATGTCCATGGCGTCCAAAAAGCGTCCCTTTAGGTCAAAATCGGTTTTAGACCGGCTAGAGAACAGCGATAGTAAATCAGAACCACTTGCAGAATTGAGTGATAATGATTCGTGGGGGAAATTCCTCATCGGACACTGAAAACGATTCTGCGACTTTGCTCAGCGATGTGCGAACTTGGCGCTATATTTCACATTTCAGTGTTTTTGGTTTGATTATATTATTGAATTAAATGTATTATTATTATTATATTATTATTTTTTATGATTATTTATTAAATTATAATTTATGATTTCGTGTTTCAAGTTTTATCCTACCCGGGATGTTTACTAGACTCTTGTTCGGACAGATTTCAGAGTTATTCCTAAAAATTACAGCCTACAATAAAAAACTACATATTTCCATGCAAAAAAATGTACCGCTTTCAGCACCAGAAATCTGAAATAATCAGACCGCCGAGGAGGTTAAAGTAGTTGTAAAGGCTGAAGGTTTTTTACCTTCATGTATTCTATGCATGAAGGTAAATAATCTTCTGTGTGCAGCAGTCCTCCAGCCCCCTCAATACTTACCTGAGCCTCATCGCGATCCAGCCATGTGAATGACAGCCTCGGCTGTCTCAGGTCTCTGCCTCCTCATTAGCGGAGACAGCAAGTGGGAGCCATTGGCTCCCGCTGTTGTCAAACACTGCAAGTCAGCCAATGAGAAGAGAGGGGGTGGGGCCAAGCCGCGGCTGTGTGTGTGAATGGACACACGGAAAAGTAGGTGCCCTCATAGAAAGCTGCTTGCTGTGGGGGCATCCAACAGGAGGGAGGGGCCAGGAGAGCCTACGAGGAACCCGAGAAGAGGAGAATCAGGGCTGCTCTGTGCAAAACCACCGCACACAGCAGGTAAGTATAACATGTTTGTTATTTTCCAAAAAAAAATGAACCTTTAGAATCGCTTTAAGGCATGTTGTGAATGACGTCACAGTTTACTGTCCTCGCAATCAAACTGTCAAGTCATCAAATGGCTGGTGTCATAACTGATCACATGTGCACCACGGCAACTGCAGATCAGACAGAGGCTAAGACAGCAGCTTCTTCTGGATGTAAGGGCTCGTTCACACTTGATGGTTTTACCAATGCTTGCCAAACGCCCCTATAGCGTTTGGCAAGAGTTGGTCCTGCGTTTGCCGCTCCGCAAACGCTCCGCAAACGCTGCATGCGCGGTGTAGCGGCGCTTGCTAGGCATTTGACGAGCGTTAAAAACACCCCACAAACGCCTATAATGAAGTTTAAATAGTGTTACCGCTCCGCAAACGCCCGCCGGGCGTTTGCGGAGCGGCACCATAGACTAGAATAGGAGGCTTCAACGCCTCCTGACTCGACCAGAGGCGTCCGTTTTGCTGCGACGCAGCGCTGACGCTCCCGTTAGAACAGCACCATGTGCTGCAATGTGCAGAATTGTCCGAGGCATTTGGGAAGCGATAAAAACGCTTCCCAAACGCCTCTCTGCCGCCTGCACACAACGCTGGTGTGAACGTAGCCTACGGGGGTCGATCCCACTTTGAGGTCCTGCGTCAACAGCTGTTGACTAAAAAGAGTTTTACGTTCCCATACAAGTCTGTGGGAATGTATTACCCACCTGAAGCAGATCAAATGCACTTGTCAATGAATTCTGAATCTCAGAAGCATCTCAATCTGCTGCCATTGACAAGTGCTGATCACAATTGTTTGAACTGGCACTTGGAGACACGATGTGCAAAAAGGTGCCTGAGGTGCCATTCATAATCCGTATCTTCTGTCCTGGTTCAGGCACTTCCTGTTTCAAGTGATAACAGCGCCAGTTGTGCTGATTGGTCACCCTGTGTCACCTGCCGGGAACTACAAACAACACTGCAGTATAAACTACAAGTGGCAAAGCTGAAAACAGTATTTTATGAAAAAAACGCCTTTTTATGCACAGAGCAAACTAAAATGTTGTCAAGTTAGGGATTACAAATGTGCCTGGTGGCGTCCTGAAGAAGTAAGGGGGGGGGGGGGCATAGTAAAAATGATGAGTTTTGAGAAAGAAATTGGCTTAGCTCACCTGCCAAAGTCACGTAACCATCCTCCCCCCAATAACAAATTCTCTGCCGCTGTCATTTTTTTTTCAGTCCCACTTAGCTTATTCCTATTTTCCGAGTTATTCTCCATCATACTCACGCCCAGTGACTCCAGGGTTGTTCTACTGTGATCCACAGCTCTGCGGCTGAACAACAGGTCCTGCGCCGCCATCTTCCTTTGTGAACGGGAGCCAGCTTTGTCATCTAGGTTCTTGCAGCCGCCCCCCTAATGACGTGCCACCAGGTCCATCTTCCAGTACTTTGTGGTGCCTCAGCTGATGGGATAAGTGACAGATATCCAAGGAGGCTGCAGGGCACGGTTCAGGTCATTCACGCCAAGCCAAAAAATGGAGGCAGGGGGCAAGTCGACTACGAGAATAAGAATAAAAGCTAAATAGAAAAAAGTGGGCTGAGGGATGGAATCGTGAAAACATTTATTCTTGTGTGAAGTCTGCTTTATGTATCTATTCAACGATTTTTATTCTTACCATTTAAACAGTGATATCTGCTCTCCTTTATAAATGGGGTTCTACGTTTACAAAACATGACATCACTACTGCTGAGCGGGTGACAGCGGGACGTCATCAATAGCGATGAGATAATAAATGTGTATGCACAGCCAAGAATTAGCTTTTCATTTTGGATAGAATAGTGAAAGGTTGGAGCCTCAGAGCTGCTGGGTGTCCCGGCTGGGGAGGATCACCTGGTTTGTTTGACCTTTTCCACACTTTAGCGCAGAAAGAAATGGGAAATACAAAATGTAAACGTTGTCACGGGACGTGAAGGTGAGGGGAATCTTTGAACGGAGATATTTTTTCAGTTACAGCTAAGAAGAGAAGAGATTTTCTCGATTTCACTTCCTATTCTGTTTACATAATAGGAAGTCAGAACCTCATAGAGGCTCTACTTCTAACCAATCCTTACTCCACCTGAAACGTAAAGGAGATGTGCCATTAAAAACAAAATGCACTTTCCCTTTTAGCCCCAATTTTTCCCCTCAACAGATGTATACTTCCTGTACTGAGATCGGATGGACGCATCTTCCGGGCAGTGTTTACACCCAGCAATACAAGTCCTCACTGTCCTGGCCGAACCTGTGATGAAGAGCCCCACAAACTTCTATGGTGGTTGTTTAGCTTTGTTTCCTGAGGGTGGAGGCAAGGCCAGGTGAGCCCATTGAAGTTGGAGAAGCTGTACAGCGTGAACTAGGACAGCAAGGACTTGGCACCGGATGAAAACAATCCCCAGGATCTGCAGCCATTGGAACGTGGTAAGCATACATCTGTAAAGGGGGAGGGTGGGATTGGTTAGGTCAAGACAAAGGGGCAAAAAGGATAAATGTAATTGGTTTTAAAGCTGACCTTCACTCTCTTCAATGATTTTGAAATACCTTTTTTGCAACACCCGACCCTGCAGTTCCTTCTTTCTCGCCTACATAGGAGTGACATCAAAAAGCTGCCTGCGGTCTCCGAGTATGCCATGTCACACATCCTAAGAGACTTTGGGGAAATTCCCACAATACTGCGCATGAGCTGCGGCATGTCATTAGGAAGCTAGCTGCAAGTTCCAGGAAAAAAGACGGCTGCACCCCGATGACTTAAGAAGAGAAGATGGCAGCATGGGACCCGGCACATGGCAGTGGATTACACCAGACAACACTGGTTTCCTTGGGTGTACAAGTGTGTATTTCAGAAAAACCAGTAGACAAGGAAAGAAGGAAAAAATAAACGTAGGGGGGAGTGATGTTCCGCTTTAACCTCTTGCTCACCATGTAAGTCATGTGTGTGGCAGTAGGGAGGGTGGGCCTTAACCACACATGAATCCAAGAGGACCGAGATTTATGTATCGAGAGCCACTCATTGCGCACTACCATCAAAGTGCCCAAGTTGCCAAAGACAGGCTCCTGATCAGGTGACCACAGTGACAGCCAATCACAGTGACGATGTCATCAGAAAGTCTATTCCACCTCCTGGCATTAAAGTCCAATTAAAGCCCATCTCCAGCTTTGCCAACACTTTAACCCCCCTGGCGGTATTCCCGAGTGTAGCTCGGGGTAAAGTTTCAGTACCAAAAGCGGTAACCCCCCCCCCCGAGCTACACTCGGGCTTACCATGCAGCGCTGCTCAGGGGGTCCCTGCAGCGCTTACCTTGTCCTTCGCTCCCGCGATGCGTCCCCTGCAGCGTCCCCAGCCATCTCCTCCGGCCGATGCCGGCATCCGGCTTCCGTGTTCCGGTCCCTGTGACGTCGGGACGTACGGGCGCCGAAACCGGCGGCAAATTTGAAAATTTTTAAAAAATTTCATTTTTTTTTTTTTAAATGATTATTACATAGTAAAACATTGCTGTTTCAACCCATTTCACATACATTTTGTCCCTACTGCTTTGTCCGGCGCCCTGCCTGCATTTTGACTGTTCTTTCTGCCTGGAAACTTAGAAAAGTCCATCTGTCTTCTGGGTTCCGTCCCCTGCGAGCGTCGGGACGTACGGGGGACAGAACTGGCGGGAAATTAAAAAATGACAAGAAGTGACATTCACTAAACTCACATAGTAAACCATTACTGTTTCAAACCATTTCACATACATTTTGTCCCGAGTGCTTTGTCCGGCGCCCTGCCTGCATTGTTACTGTCCTTTCTGCCTGGAAACTGAGAAACGTCCATGGCGTCCAAAAAGCGCCCCTTTAGGTCAGACGCGGTTTTAGACCGGCTAGAGAACAGCGATAGTAAATCAGAACCACTTGCAGAATTGAGTGATAATGATTCGTGGGGGAAATTCCTCATCGGACACTGAAAACAATTCTGCGACTTTGCTCAGTGATGTGCGAACTTGGCGCTATATTTCACATTTCAGTGTTTTTGGTTTGATTATATTATTGAATTAAATTTATTATATTATTATTTTTTATGATTATTTATTAAATTATAATTTATGATTTCGTGTTTCAAGTTTTATCCTCCCCGGGATGTTTAATAGACTCTTGTTCGGACAGATTTCAGTGAGTTATTCCTAAAAATTAC